ATACATACATACATACATAGATACATACATACATACATACATGGATACATACATACATACATACATACATACATACATACATGGATACATACATACATACATACATACATACATACATAGATACATACATACTGACTTACCGGCATGCATACATTCGATACAAGCTTACATGCATACATGCAAACATGCATGCACGCATGCATACGTACATGCATACATGAATACGTCCGTCCATCCATACATACATGCAGACATAGATACATACAGACCTACACACATACATATCGAAAGATCTACTGAAGTAGGTATGTACATATATACATATGTATGTAGAGAGAGAGAGAGCCAAACAGATACACACATACATATATTCAGATATCTGTGTGTATATATATATATATACGATTATATACGTATAAAATCACACATATACATGTGTATATATATATATATATACATACATACATAGAGACCTGCATCAAAATCTATATGCACATTGCGTGCAGTCTACATGTACTGCTGACTGCGCTTTATTGTAGGTAGCAGTTTTCCTCTCCACGCAGAAATCTCTATGGTTAGCGGTGGCAATGGCCGTCCAGGATGTGCTCAACATTAGTTGCTAGGACCAGTGGCTTAGGAAATGATGTCGATCCTCTGGCTTCCTGCTGATTCTAGCCCAATTCGAGGGCAGAAAGACCACGACATGAAGCGGGGCTTGGACAAGCTCCTTTGCAACCAAGCCCCATGCTCTTGTCTCGAAGTGAGTCACCGAATCCTGAGCCTTACGCTGCCGCCCAGGATCTGACTCTTGGCACTGCGGGTAGCTATCCGCTCGTCCCGGTTCTTCCGGTAGCGGCCATAGTTGCCTGCACACACCAGTCATAGTATGCAGTATAGACGACACCGACGACTAGCAGGACCGACTAGTCAGCGGTGGTCAAACACTCCTTTCAATCCTTTGACGTTAACAAACCCTTGCGAGTTCATTGTGCGCGCAGCTTCCGGGGAGCCAACTGTCCGTGCTCCCTCGTGCAGTTCAGATCCTTGTGCAGGACTGAATTCCTAGTTTGCTCAGAGTCTCTTCCACTGAAGCGATTTGCGACATACGGTACCGTACTGTAGCAAGGCTGGGTTTGCCCATGTTGCTAAGGACTGTCACAAAGGGTTTTGCCGTTGCCCTTGCGCGTGCCTTCTGCGCACCTTGCGCGCTGAACCCCGTGTAAAACTGTTTTTGGCTGTTCTCGGATCTTAGGAGCAGCAGCAGCAGCAGTAGCAGTAGTAGTAGTAGTAGTAGTAGTAGTAGTAGTAGTAGAGGTGGTAGTAGTAGTAGTAGTAGTACTACTACTACTATTACTACTACTACTGCCACGAGGTAGTAGGAAGTACGTGGTAGGTGGTAGGTGGTAGGTGGTCGGTAGTAGGTAGTAGTCGTAGTAGTAGTAGTAGTAGTAGTAGTAGTACTAGTAGTAGGAGGTAGTAGGAAGTACGTGGTAGGTGGTAGGTGGTAGGTAGTAGGTAGTAGGTAGTAGGTAGTAGGTAGTAGGTAGTAGGCAGTAGGCCGTAGCTAGTAGCTAGTAGCTAGTAGGTTGTAGGTAGCAGGTAGAAGGTAGAAGGTAGTAGGTAGAAGGTACTAGTAGTAGTAGTAGTGGTAGTAGTAGTAGTAGTAGTAGTAGTAGTAGTCGTCGTCATCGTCGCCGCCGTCGTCATCGTCTCTACAAGATCTCAGGATTCTACTTGACTCAAGATACCCTTACGCACACCCCTTGCGCGCATCGGCTTTCAAAGTAACCGCTGCGCAAGCCTTACGCGCATGCGACTGTGGCTTACACACGCTTGCGCGCCCATGTGTTTATGCCTCCCCTAGTCTGGCTAGCCTTTCGATGGTTTAAGTCTTTGCTCGTTGTCATTGCCGCTGTTTCTTCTTCTACTTTGACTGTGATTGTAATGATCAACTATGATCTGTTGCGGAGCCCAACCTGTGGAATTACGGGGAGTCCCAGCCGAGGCACCGTAAGACCGCTTCTGAAACTCCTGGGGCGAGTTGCCAAGAGTGTTTGGGTTTTGTGGTTTAGTGTTAGTGCTTGGGGTTTGGACTTTGCCGGGTCTGGGCTCCAATTCACCGTTCTGAGTGAAGGCTTCGGAGAATCAGATTAAAGAATCATGTCCATCAAAACCTGGAGGACAAACTGACATCAGGCTTTCAAGCGTCAGGCTGGAGTCCAGCGCTGGAATCGAAGCACGCACATGGGAAGTTCGCAGGCCAACTTGCAGCCCAAAGGCCCGTCGGAGCTTCGTGGTCTTGATGTTCTTGACAAGCATCCTTGCCACCGGAGCTGGGGATCCCCCTCACTGTATGCAACTATAGCAAGTACTTAAGTACTTGGAAGGAGTTCTACTCGAGGCAATGGTGGCGGCCCTTCGTGCTCTAGGCTTCCTCTGTGCTCATCCTCCTGTCGAGCATGTCGGCAAGACTTCGATTTCTCCGAGTGTACGACACATGACAATAAATCCGTTGAGTTCGGGAGGCATTTTTCTGCGAATCCTGAAGCCAGTGACACTAATCACTCATCTGAAAACAGACCCGGGCAAGTTCACTGCGCCTGAGTTCCGTCGTACTCTCCGGGGGTGGATTCTTGGTATTGGCCTGGACACGGTGGCTACTGCCCGTATTTCTAAGGCAGAAGTGATACCTTCCGTCCCGATCATGCGCTCACATCGAAGGTTCAGAACTGTCTACATCGTCGTCGTCAACCAATGGTCAACTGTTTGTGCACTCTCGAGCAAGCCTTCTGCCGAACCTCAGCATTTGTTGGCTTCGCGGTAGCCTGGCTCCAAACGTGTTACATTGACGTGCATCGGCATTACCCGTCATGACACAAACACAGTGCTGCTACTAAGGCTGCTAAGAAAACTTTAGCAACGGCAAGAAGTGTATGTAGATGCTGTTTAGGTCTGGGTGGCTCAAAACTCCATGTCAGCATACCTTGAAGCAGGGGCGCATTGTAGAAGCTGGGATTGGGCGTCCAATGCATAATATGTCAGTTCCGGACTCCGAGGTTGGTTTCATTTCATGAGGAGCTCAAGGCAAAAACACCGGCAGCTTTGGCATCTGGTGTCACGAGTTGGGGCTTCTGTCGGGTCAAGCAGTCAAGCCTCCAAGGCAGAGGTTCAGCCCTACACCTGGGGCCCGCACCCAACCATTGCGGTAGCAAGTCCAGGCCCATTCAGACTCTCTGCGAGCCTGCCACTGTCCAATGTAACTAGAGTGGCCCTGAGGTGATCATGCAAGAGATCGCAGATTCTGCAGTCGTCCCTTCGACAGGCAACACACAACTATTTGGCTTCGCTCCTCTTGCGGCGACCTAACCACCTTCATCCTGTGTGGAAGGCCAGACGGCCCACAGTAGTGGACATCTGTTGGTGGGGCAGGGAGCAAACCCAAACTCCGCCGCAAGCCAAGCCAAACACCCGTTCATAGTACTAGAACAATCATGAACAATCTCGTGAACGAACCCATGTCAGCAACTTCCAGATACTGAAGACTTCGCCCAAATTCGATTTGGCTCCAAGAGTTGCTTACTTAAAAGTCCGAAAACCTGCACCCTGAACCTGCTGATTGGGCCCTTGGGCGCCGCGAAGCGGCGAACAGTTTACAATAAGCCCGAAAGCTCCACACACTCAAATCCAACACCAAAGCTCGAACGTGTCTACCTAGCGCCCTGATGGTTTAAAACCTACAAGCTCAAGGTCCTCAGCGCTGTGGCGAACCGAGGCGAGCCTGTGAGGGCTCCCGAACTGCAGGCTGCAGCCGAGCCTGAAACGTGAGAGGATGCCTGCTGGTACTGCTGGTAAATATATGCAATGCATTGCAAGCAAGAGCTGAAGCAAAGCAAAAAATGGAGTTAAGCTGTCTATGCTAGGAACAGGGGCTTCGACATGTAAGTTGTTGTATCTTGCTGTCCTGTGCTACATTGGGTAGATGACTTTGCAAGGTGCCCGGGAACTGGCAATAAGACCACTTACATACCCGTTCTGGGCCAACCGCCAAGTCTGCCGGCCAATAGTCTTCAAAAGCACGCCTTTACTACGACTCTTGATGTTGCCAACTCTTGCTTCGTTACAAGACTTGGAACAAAACACAACCGGGGTGGGAAAAAAAGTCACCCCAGGTCTTCTGATTTTCATGACAAAGCGATTGCCGATTCAGCTGGCTTGCTCCATAGAGTCCGGAGGATAACCGATTCCTCACGTCGCAACATGCGTTCTATGCGCTTGGAGAACCTGCGAGGCTTGGACAGGAGTGCGCGCTAAGGCACTAAGGACCACAAGTTGCTCTGGTTTCGGCGAGATGGGCATGTGCCCAGCCTTTGCTTAGGAGGAACAGCCATGTACCTACCGCTGCACCGGCACACTTGTGGTCTCACACATACTCTCTGTCGAAGAGATGCCCCGGAACAGGCTGCTGAACCTCGCTGAAAAACAAACAAACCATAAAGTCTCGAAGAACCAATGCCAAGTTAGTACCATTTTAGAAAGTCGGCAGCTCAATGGGGAGGGGTAAGAAACACACCATTTCGAAAGCTGAGGAACCAATGTAGCTGACAGCCACAATTACAAACAAGCTCGAGTTCGCCCTCAGGCCTTGTTGCCATCCCTCTTCCGACTGCCAACCTGTAAGTACGGGTTTGGCCATAGCTGCAGGGTTAAGTGCCTTGCATGCATGCTTCGAGGTTAAGATGAAGGCAGAAAGGCAGGATGACGAGGAGGCTCTCGTACAAGGCGAAGCTGTGCTGGACAAACGCCAACGGGAAGATTTACAAGATTACAGGTCGCTTGACTTGAACTGAGACACTTCGCCCAAACCATACAGAATCTTGAAAGAAGTGATGAGTTGTCCCGAGAAAACTTCTGATGCTCTGCAGCACCAGTTCCAATGTTGCGTTGGCTCGGCTTGATTAACAAGCACGCTGAATCTCAACGTCATGCACCACCTGTTCCAGGCCCACTACACCAGAACTCCGCCAACCCCAATCACCTAACATGCGATAAGCACATGTTAGCGTCTGGAGTCTTTGAAGCTGAAAGCCTACTGGCGGTCCAACAGGACAACCTCAGGCCTCATCGAGGTGCGGCCACTCCTCTGGATCTGGACGCCAGACCTCCTCCTCCTCCGGCTTCCAGTCCCAGGAGTTCCACTGCTGCTCCTGGAGACTTCTGTCTTCATCTGCGCAGGCTCTTTGGCGAGTGCAGGGCTGAGCCTGGACATTGCAATAGACTCTGAAAAGACAATAAGTAGGTGACAAGCCTTTTGCCGGCTTGCAACGATGCCGAATGCAGTACCATGTCGGGTGCCCGCCTCCCAGGCCCGGATCTGCTCCTGCCATACGGAAAACGCCAGGTAGAGAACACAAGAATCATCGCGGTCAAGCTCTTCCGTACCAGCACCGCCATCACCAATGCGCTCATCACAGTTGGCCAGAGATCGAACAGAAGGAAAAAACCAAGTTCAGGTGCATCCGGAGCGGCCTTCGCGCGCTCAGACTCCTCTTTGGCTCTGCGCGACTCCTGGCAAGCCGGGCTTTGAGAATGAAACTGCGAGGACTGCGGTATTTTGGCACGAAACAAATTCGAACCCCCACGCTAAAACCCAAAGCCTTAAATACATGCATGGCCTCCATCGCCCTGCGGGACTCCTCCTTTGCACGGCGGCCTTGGCTGAGCTTTGGAGGCACTAAGCACGAAATATCGCGAATCGGTTGTCGCATCTAGCTGGGTTGGCTGCAAAGCTCAGCTTAACATCTGACTCAGGTTCTTAAGGCGATGCTATCAAAGCTCTTGGGCCAAGTCCTTGTTTTCTTGCGCTCTTGGGCGGGTCGGCCCAGAAGCTCGGGCTTCAACGGTCTTACTCTCCGGCTTCTCAAGCCGGTAGTTGCGCTTGTTACAGGGCTGTTTTGCTTTGGAGGCTTCTGCCGTGCTGCGTGTGCATCATGCGCAGGTTTTTGTTGGTTTTTGTCTGGATATTTTTTGGGTTTTTCGGTTTGATCCCTATACAAAACTTGCACGAGTCACAGGGATGGCGAGAACTGAGACCGTCTGCGAAATCTTTATTGGTGTATGTTTATGGTTTTCGGCCTGCCGGTCTTCAGCCCTCGGTCGGTCACTTAGTCCTTAAGCTTTACGGCTTTACGTTCTTGATGGCACGATGTTCTCTACAGCTAGCTTGCGCGGCCCAAAAGATCAATCGGGGGGTTTGGGCCCTGGGACGAGCTTTCAAAGGTCTCGTAAGAGTTGCGCGCTTGACTTGTTACGACCAATCGCAAGAGGCCAAATAGGGTTCTTGATGGTACGACGTTCGCTAAAGCACGTTCACGGGGTTTCAGACAGCAGGGGGTTGGGGGGGCGAACCCCCCCCCCATTCTCAAATGCAATTGCAAGAGGACTAAGGGGGCGGCGCGTTCAAGATGTATGACGAACCGTTATCGCCAAATGAAGGGGCGTGTTCAAGATATAGGATGACCCGGAGTTACCAAATAAGGGGGCGTGCTTTACAAATATGCTGAACCTGAACCACCAAATCAAGGGGGCGTGCTTCAGATATATGGTGAACCGGAATTGCCAAATGTGGGCATGTTTAAGACCTATGATGAACCGTTGACCGTTATCGCCAAATGAGTGGGCGTGCTTAACATGTATGATCAACCGGTATCGCCAAATGAGGGGACGTGTCTAAGATATATGATGAACCGCTATCGCCAAACAAAGGGGCGAGCCCGAGATATATGTTGAACCGGACTCTCCAAATTAGGCGGCGTGTTTAAGATATATGGTGAACCGGAACCGCCAAACGAGGGGGCGCTTTAAGATATAGCATGGTGAACCGGAATCGCCAAGTGAGGGGGCGTGTCTAAGATATATGATGAACCGGACTCGCAAAAGGAGCTGTGTTTAACATGTATGATGAACCGGAATCGCCAAATGAGGGGGCATGTTCAAGATCCATGGTGAACCAGGATCGCCAAACAAGGGGGCCTGCTTCAGATATGTGGTGAGCCGCAGTCGCCGAATGAGGGCCGTGTTCAGGGTGATATATGAACCGGAATGATGAACCGGAATCACCAAACAAGGGGGCGTGCTTCAGATATAAGGTGAACCGTGTGAGTAACCGGAATCGCCAAATGAGGGGGCATATGTAAGATACATGATGTGCCGGAACCGCCAAATGAGGGGGCGTGTTTAAGACATATGGTGAAAGGCTATCGCCGAATGAGGGGTCGTGTTACAGAAATATGCTGAACCGGAAATGTGTTTCCAATGTATAGCATAACATATGGTGCACCGGAATCGCCAAATGTGGGCGCGTGCTCAAGATGTGATGAACCGCCATTCCGGCTCATCATATATCTTGAACACGCCCCGCTCAGTTGGCGATAATGGTTCATCACACGTCTTAAAGATGCCATCATTTGGCGATTCCGGTTCACCATGTATCTGCAGCACGCCTTGCTATTTGGTAATTCCAGTCCACCACATATCTTTAACACGCCCCCTCATTCGGCGAGAACCGTTCACCATCTATCTTGACCACCCTCATCTGGTAATAACGGCTCATCATATATCTTAGACACGCCCCCTCATGTGGCGACTCCGGCTCATCATATACCTTTAAACACGCCCCCTGATTTGGCGATAGCGGTTCATCATACATCTTAAACACAGCCCGTCATTTGGCGATTCCGGTGCATCATACATCTTGAACACGCCCCCTNNTTCATCATACATCTTAAGCACGCCCCGCCCCCTTTCCTCCCCTCCTTCTATTGAGTAATTACCTGCCAATACTGTAGCTTACAGAGTTTTGACGTAGTTTTCATCCGATTCATCCCTGTTTGATGTGTTGTTCCCTATTTGGTTTGTTGATCGCTGTTCGATGTGTCGATGCTTATCCGCGTTGGGCCGGTCAGGCGGGCAGCCGCCCCCATGCGAAAGCCGGTGATTTCGCATTGGGAGTTGATGAAAGAACATGCTTTGCACTTTGCTACATAATGCGGGCAACTCTCGAAACCAGTTGAAGGGAGATGGCTTCAGGCACGTGGGTAGTTCTCTAAATCAGCGGGTCTCCAAGGGTGCCAGACAGAGGGAGTGAGAGCTAGAAAAAGTTTTGCGCAAGCCAGGAAGCCAGAAGCCAGCCGTAGCAGTTTAAGCAGTTGGACAGTAGTAGTAGTAGTAGTAGTAGTAGTAGTAGTAGTAGTAGGTAGTAGTAGTAGTAGTAGCAGTAGTAGTAGTAGTAGTAGTAGTAGTAGTAGTCGTAGCAGGAGTAGTAGTAGTAGTAGTTGTT